TATATCTTGCTTATCTTTTTCCGATGAAAAAATTATTTCACAGAATGACCTATTAAAAAGTTTTTAAAGTAAAATTCATTTATCACTAATAAAAACTAGTTTGAAACCTTTTAATAGTGATAAATGAACTCATAATTGAAGATTTGGCTGATAATTCAATCCTTTCGAGAAAATTCTAATAATCCGATTAACTTTAAACAAAATTAGTCATGAAATCAGGACATGAAGGCATTCGTGTTAAACAATTAAGAACCAATTATCGTAATAAGAATCAATTACCATGAAACAGCCACGCCCAAAATTAAACGAAATTAATATTCATCCAGATTTTTTGTTATGGATATACTTGTTTTGGGTCAGTACTGTTAAACCAATGTGGCTCTGTAGATCCATTTCAAATCTTTACGATTCTTGCGTCAGACGGGACATTTAGAAGAAGACCAAGTTTTGTATCGTAAGAACATTCAGAACATCTTTAGTGGAAGCAAATGGCTACTTAAAAAAGTTATTGTAATTTTTGGTATTTTTAGGGCACCCATTTCGCCCCTCGTCCCATTTCGTGACGAGACAAACTTGTGTCATTGACTATTTATATACAAAACACGTCCAACGGAGTGCTAGTTACACTGAATTGCACAAAAACAAAAAAAATTGAATGTATTCAATTTTTATATATATATATATATATATATATATATATATATATATATATATATATATACACACACACAGTTGAAAATTACTTTTGTAGGCCTTATTTACATTGCGTTTTACTTATGTTATTTCTCATCGGTTTTCTAACTTTAATATATAGTTCAAAGATCACTTGGCTCCTTAACGGCTGGTGGCCATTAAGATTTTTCATTCCTCTATGGGGTTGTGTTATGCAGATATATTAACGGACAGTATTACGAAAAGAATTTTAGAGAGTTCATGCACGATAAGTGGGAAACCAGCCATGTCACAACACACAGGTGCCAAAATATTCGTACCTGAGCGGAAATCCGCATTCGACGCTCGCTCCTAGTTAACGTTTATCCTGCTATTGTCATAAATATTATGAGCTATTCTCCATACTAAATAACAGGTAAGAATTAAAACGACAGATAAGAGATAATAAACCTAGAAATGTTTTTGCAACTGAACAGAAACCATCATTAGTCCAGAACATTGTTCCTTCGTCTTGAAAACTTGTAGCTAAACAATTTACGGTGTGCCCTAGAACCATAGATAAATTTAATGTTGACTAATCGTTCTACAGCCGCTGCAAGTGCCCCTCGTGTAGAAACAGACTCAATGTCTTTCATTTTTACTAGTTCTATAAATTTTCTACAACGTGCCTTTTACTTTTTTCGTAAGTCCGTTGATTAATGTTACAATTACTGGAATGCGCAAGAACCAAAGTTCAAAAACTACTGTAGAACGTCGATTATCGGAACTAAATGGGACATCTACAACCGCAAACTACAAAAACCATCGCTAGTAAAGTGATCATTTTAAAGAAACACTTGCATTTTTCTTAGTTGGGTAATCATTTTCATTTCATTTTTTCACATTATTTTATGGTACGCCAATAAATATTTATGCGGTCGTTTATTGAGGCGTAGTTTTCTAGGATCGGCTAAAGGTTCTGTTATCGAGAGAGATCAGCAAGAAGTACTGGTAAACTAATGCTAGCAACGATTGTGCTAGCGCTCCTCAGATACCATTTAATATGGTATACCTTCCCAGTAGAGTTTGTGCTGAACAAACCGGCAGATTTCCTGGTGATTCTGTCATGTCCCATTGCCTCTGCCCGTTGATCAACTACTACTCACACACAATTTCAAAAAAAATTTTTTTTCAATAAACTGTTCACGACCTTTTTTAAAGAGCTGACTTTTTAGAACAGACTATCTCATTCAAAAATCTTTATCTTCAATTTTATATTTTTGAAATGTTAACTTTTTGCAATTTTCGGAAGTAAGTAGAATTCTCCGAAAATGAGACCAGATTCATATTTATTATCGCGCCTTTGTAATACGAGGGAAACTTTAAAGAAAAAATTATAGAACCAATAAAGAAACTTTTATAGAACCAATTGTTTAAAAATTGTCTATGTTTCTGTAAAATCATGCGAAAACAAGTCATGTTTCAGAAAACTTGTACATTGCATTATTTCAAGACCCATCTTTGAAAAACAGATTTAATTAAGGAATAAATCTCTATCTTTAATATTATAGTTGAAGGAAGACGCCCAAACAAATTTACACTTTCGCAATTTTCGAAAAATCAGGATTTTAACGAACATGAAACCAGCACCATTCTCTTAATCGTTCCTTACGCTATCCGAAGACAAAAGTGAAAACAAAAACTTTGGAGCAATTTTTGAGAAAATTAGGAAAATGTTTCAGGCTTCAAGCAAAATACCCTCAAAAATTTTAATAACCTGTTGAAACTCACTAGGCCTCGAGTTCGTTTAAATTGATCGGAAAATATCAATTTTGAAGAAAACCGTCTGAACGGTTTACGAGCTAACGTGATCACCGGCTGATAGACAGAGCCGTGCAGTGTGACCAGGTGCACGAACGATTGAAAGATGCAGTCGCCATCCCCAAATTACTCTTCAACAGTGGGAAGCAAGAAGGTGTTTAAAACATCAACGCAAGCCTGTGCCGTGATAGTGCCACACAAGCACCCTCCGTGGAAAACATGACCACGACACCATTTTGGACGTGTCCGGATACTTTTGATCACGTGGTTTAAGTTTCTCATCTCTCTCCTCCCCCATATCTCTCTAGTCTCTCACACACAATGAAGTAAATAAATATTATTATTATTATTATTATTATTATTATTATTATTATTATTATTATTATTATTCGAACTCGTAGAATCACAACTATACTGGAATTCAGCCCTAGAATTGAATTCTCAAGTTCACCCACCACAAAAAATGAACCGAATGTACAAATTACAATTACAACATTTTCTTGTAGCAGTTCTGTTAGAAGAATCGGGCAAATGCAGATAAATAATGTAATCAACGATTCTTACACTGCGTCAACAAAATCTGCGTAGAAGCGAGAAGGTGCCGACCCGGGCCAGTGCAATGCCTGAATCCCCACGATGTCGGGCATTATGAAAACAATTGTCGTCGCCAACCTTACTACGTAAGATGGACAGAACCATAGTGTCCGTTGCCTAAAGGTGTACCACTTAAAAGTGTTAACTGTGCTTCCGAAAATCTGGAAGCAAATCAGGGCAAACGCACGTGCTGATTCTACTATAGGTATCGAATAGCCCAGCGTAATATGCGGCACATTCGGCTTTTCGATCATCACCAAAATATACCTGCTTTCGCACTTTAAATGTCTTTAACAGTCCCAAAGAAACGCATTTACCTTCAAGTTTTCAAACAGCATCAAACATTATTGTTTCTTTGCCATTACACTTCCCACAGTCTCTGTACTTATTCCTTGCGCCAAATGTACACTACAATTGTATGAATACTACAAGTGTTTCGTGTGGCTTTCGAAATGGAATATCACGCGCAATTTCTTAAAATCTCCCCTCCCAAACAACCCATTGTCCTACGACCTTTGACTTTCAATCTCTCTTAACTCCAATTACATCCCACTTACAAACCCCAATGAGCAACTACTCACGAATATTGTCAACCAAATAATGTATTCCCTCCCACTAATGAGAGAGATGAGAAATCGTCTAAGGCATTGCAACCTAGATTTTCCTTAAACTTTTTTCAAAAATGAAATAAGTTGAAAAAACAAAAATATTTCCCCTACGCCATTCCTCTCCAACGAAATCCAACTCCTCCAATGCCAAGATAATATAGGGACCAACCATAAGGTGTAATATCGAAACAAATACGAACTCTGCAGGAGCCCAATTGGGTTTCCCGATAAGTTGTACAATAAATTATGTGTATGTTTGTATTTTGTTTCTCTGCAATCATCAAATGTAAATTTGTAGGTTGATCAATGAATAAAAATAAATGTTAAAAACAATGAAACGCCGAGGAATAAAAAATAAATTCCTAATCCACTAAATCACGACCAAACACCCCCAATCGATACCACGCATGAAAACCTTGTTCTCAGCATCACTTGACCAAAGCACTTGATCAAAACACAAATCACAAAGAATCCGAAGAGCGCAAAAAGCGTAACCATTCGACAGAAATGTTGCTAACCAGTTTGAGAGCTACTAGATACGCAAGAAAAATCAAAATAAAACTGCAAAATTACCACTACGATACTTCCGCTTCAACAAATTAATAATGGTGCTCTGACGAGGTACTAGAACTCAGCTTGCAAACTTTAGGTTTGGACGATTCTTTAAAAGAAAATCTCTGCCTTTATTTATCGCGAAATCGGCCGAACTGACAATAGGTGTCACAGGTATCTTAGATTGCATAGTACTCACAAAGGCTGACATTACGATATATGAGCGAAGAAATCGAATAGGCTACTCAGGAATTCTGTGGTGAACATTTGTTGCACCTCGTAAATATTGTTTAGAGTAATAACCAATAATATGGTATTAAAATCGATGAAATCACAAAAAAAGTATTAAAAATGACGTAAAGATGTAAAAAAATGACTTAATAGTAGGATTCGACGAAAAATGAAATGAATTTCTATACTGATCGACATTATTTTTAAGTGAAAAGGAAAAAAATTACATTTCATTAAAATCCGTCTCCTACCTATTACAATTATGTATCGTGGTCTGTACATTGCTCACCACCCTTGCCACAGAAAGATTCCTCTCAAAATCCCCAACAACCCCTCGACCTCTCCACCACGGTTTTCCGTGTGAACGGCGCTAGGTGCAGGTTTAAACAACCTCCGTAATTGCTAGTGTTCTCTACTTCAGCTAAATTTGGAACAAAAACCCCCAAAACGTGCATTTCCATAAAAATCTTGACATCACATAACGTTTTACTTGGTTACATAACTTACAGTACTAAACATTGTAGAAAATTAAACATTACCTACCTCTGAATTTTTCTTCGTTTTCGTTTGAACACCACCAAAATATTCACATGAAGATAGGGAATGAGCACACGTATAATCCAGTATATCGCACACAAAAAAAATACTCTTGTTTTGAACATATATCCCGCTCGCAAGGGTAAAAAGCTCTTCCTTACAGTATTCTTCCCGCGATAATGTACGTCCTTGTCGGCCAGTGCGAAGGAATAAAATCAGTGTCACCGAGTAAAAATCACATTAAAAGTAATTCGTCTACAAAAAACTCTGTTCTCTTATGTTTCCGACCACTCATACAAATCTGAGCTCCATAAACATTTCCTATTTTCTTGCGTTCTTCCACTACGAAGATTTGCAGTATGCCTTCAGGCAAATCAGTATTTCACTCGGAAATTATCGCATGTTGTGATTTGTTCATAATCACATCTCAATCACTCTTCGGAAACATTGAAGCACACGCATTTGTTATTAATAATCGTAACTTATAAATTTCACCTCACCAAGCGAAACCGCAGAAACTATCAGATCACTTACAAATTTTTAGATTTGCGCATCCTAAGGTTCCGCAATATATTCCACGAGAACACCGTAAAATACAATCTTCAACATCACCATACTCCAGTCAAGTCATGAAGCAAGGATGGCAAATGTGATACCAAATTTCGTTTTCTTTAACTGCTCATTCATGGAGTAATTATTACAGCCATAACTCTACCTTCATCTTTCACTTCCATAAGGTTATTCTTTACTGTGATTTGATATTTTTTATACTTAAAAAGATTGGCATTTTTATATTGCAGGTCTTGGCCAGAACAATGTTTATATTGAACTTATGATGTAAAGAAAAACATTATATCAAATAGTAGATCAGAGTAAGTAGTTACCATTTTAAAAATGAACACATTAATGACAATTTTATTCATTCAAAATTCAGCATTTCAGTTCAAATGTTGAAATATGTCTTTTGAATTAAAACTATTATTTATAATGGTTTTAATTCAAAAGACATATAGTTGTTGCAAAATGTTAAAGCAGGAGAAAGTATTCTACTTCCTTGAATATTTTGTCTGCAACAGTGTTTCATATTCGATGGTGAATTGCATGAAATTGTAAAATGTAACATTGCATGTTTTATAGTGAGTCAGTTGTAGGACCTAAAAACAATTAATTTGCAATTCATTTTCTAAATTGTTTGGATCTAAAATGGATAGGGTAGTTTTGTGTTACCATCATGTTCATACAAGAAATCAGTTTACTTTTGATATTTAAATGAACACTATTGAATTAGTATAATTTTCAACTTTATGATTATTATAATCAAGAGGTAGTTTTTTTTCCAATGTTCCCAATCGAGGTGAATCTGGATTTACCACTCCAGAACTAATTTACTCTCCAGAACTTTTATCCCCCTTATTCCTCTTTCTTCCACAACCTTTTCCATTACTATCATGGGAATCAGTACTTCCCAATAACAGATTATTTAAACAGATTTTCCCTTGGAATTTTCTGTAGTACCTTCAGGCCTACCTTTAATACCTTGACTTAATTACCAACAAAAGGAACAAATTAAAACAAAAATTATGAAAGCTCAAAGAAACACAATGAAACTTGTCAGGAAAGGAAAAGTCTCTCTTTTTAAAATTGATTTAACTGTATTTCCTTGCCTGAAATTTACTTAAACAATACTGAAAATTATTTTCATGAACGGTTTCTTACAATATCATGAGTTAATAATGGGTTATCAACCTCAATTGATACTTAAGTTATTTGTTAATTAACAAACACGTTGTCAGATTCTCAGAAAAATAATATTCCAATTACATTAATTACATTGTCAGGCATTTCTTAAAACAAGTTTCTCTTAAGATAACCATGAAGATATTCAGATTTATTTCATAGACGCTATATTATGCATTTAGCTAGATAATATTTGTATTAATAAAAACAAAACCATCTTAAAATTCTCCTTTTATTTAATGTTATTATTTTACCTAAATTAGTTATTTTTCATGTATCACATTTCAGACTTTCCTAATGTCTTTTCTTTTCAAACAGTTTATGGAAAGAAAGTAGCTCTTAATTTAGGGTTCCTAATTAGTGTTAAGAAACTGCTGCTCCTACAGCGTAGTAATCATAGAGCAATATAAAATGAAAATTTTAAAACAATTACACTTACTAAATAAAAATCTTGTTGTCTTGTAAATAAAAAAGATGTATTAGATTTTTAATATCCTTTTATGTATAAAATTATTTAATTCTTAAGATTGTTATATTAAAACGCTTTGTTTTGTATTTTCTTTATTCCCTAACTTAAAATTCATAAATGAATGAATGAATGAATGAATGAAATGAAAATCCAGGGCTAAAGACTCATTTGGTCCATTTATAAACCAAATAACTTTAGGAAGGTTGAGTAGAAAAGGTGGTAATAAGTAGTAAGCCCAAATCAGGTACAGATCAGACTGGCAAGCAATGGGCTAAATGCTGTCTCTGAAGGGGATGTTTCCAACATACAGGAACATAATTTGCAATAAATATTTCCAAGTCATCAAATACTACATCATATTTCATACACAAATAATTGCTAAACCTATATAATACCTAAAATCTTTCAATTATTTGCATAAATAATTGCTAAACCTTTATAATACCTAAAATCTTTGAATTATTTGGAGTGTGAAATTGATTCAAAAAGTCTGTAGGCATTATTAATTAGTTTGAAACAATTCATTAAAATTATTTCATCTATTTGCTAAAACATTTTAAATTCAATGGCAATTGTTAGACAACAGAACAAAACTTAGTTTAAATCTTATATTTTTTTTGTAATTACTTCAAATGTCTTAAAAGAACTTAAAATGTCTATAAATGAAAAGCTAAATGTAATAAATACAGAATTTATCTCTGCAAATATTTAGAATGTGCGAGAGGTTAAAAAATAATTACTTCATAAATGCATGTTGTGCGGCCTGAGGGCAGAGTGCTTGGACACAAATTAATTAATTCTTACTAACAATATTAATGTGTGCTGAATTGTTTTACTCTTCTCTAAATGACGATCATAACTTAAATTGATGTCCTACAACAAATATAATTTACATTTACACAAATAAAGGAATTTTTCTCTTCAACCGTAAGTTGAAAGGGCAACATATTCTTCTACTTTCTACTTGCAGGTATTTTTGTTTCACTTGGATATTCATCTACACTGACATTCATAAATATACTTCTTGTTTACTTTATATCCCACTTTCCTCACAATCCATACGTGAAAGATAGATATCAACAGAAGTTTGTTTGGTAGTCTTCTCCTATTTACATTGCTTGTTCACTTCACCCTAACCTTTGTCTTATTACTTTTATTGCTCTACGTTTGTCTTGATTACCCTTATTGCTCTAGATTATTATGAGCAATGATGGCAGCAATTTCTAAATAGTTTAGTAACCGTTGCAACAATTCTGTGTCCATATCTATAGAAGTTTCTGTTTTATAACACTGTCAGCACTGTCACCTTTGATATATGGAGGTCCTAGTGTACTTTTTTTTTATTTTACATTGAAAAAATATAATTCACAATTTATATCCAATGTCCTTGGGAATGTACAGTCTCTATAGAATTCATTATAGTTTTTCATTTTTAAAACCTTATTCAATCAGATTAATATACAATGCCAGTAAATTAAAGCATATTACAACTGTAGTCATTAATTTTTAAGGCAATTGTGTCTACAATAATGCGCTACCAATTAAGGGAATATTTAATTGTGTATAGAGTGTGAATTGGCAATTTTCCCCAAGGAAATAGAAGAAGTAAATCGGTAAAATTGCATGTGAAACAGGCTGTCTTTGCTCATACATTGTAGTCTGAATAAATCCAAGAATCTAGGGATCCTTTCCTTAGTTCATATGTCTTGATCTCAAAAGTATGGAAATTTTACACGAGACACCTAGCTATGGATCCAGGCAGAGACAAATTAATACTTTTGCAGTTAGGGTATCAAATTCTAAATTGAGACAATCTCTGGTTTCAATTCCCCCTGCCCTGTCCAATTCACACCCAGTGGGATTCTGAAATGAAGAACACATATCTTAGAAACTAATTATTTTATTAAATAGAATACAAAACTGTTGAGAACACATTTCCAAAACTAATATACATAATGTTTGATGTGGAAGACTATTCTGAGCACAGGAATGATTTGATTTTGTATGTTTTTTGTTCTGACATTCCAATAAAGAATGATAGTATATATTCCACATTAGCTACTTTCATTGCATGTCAAAAGTATCACAGATACAGAATGAAGTCTTAATTTTTAATCTACCAATTCTATTTTTTAATTTCTTTCATGTTTTGTGTCATCATATGACCAAAACCATTTAATTCCAATTTCACTGAAATGCCAGACATCAGGTTGGCCAAAATGAAACATATCCGAAAATTTACTCAAAGACCATTGAAAAGGTTGGGGCTGCTTTTCATAAGTAGCAACATCATTTTCTACATCATCATCACCATTCTCATTCACAAAATCGTAAGCAAGACTTGGACCAGAGATTGCCTGAAAATCAAGCTGTTGTAAATTGCCAGATATAATTTTAGTATCAATAGCTCCAGCAGGTTGTGGATCAATGTTATTCAGATCTGCTCGAGGAGAAATAGCAAATAATGGATTGCTTCTACTCAAAGGATCAAAAGAAAATTCATTACTTCTCATTAGATTAAATGCTGTAGAAATATTAGTGACTTTTAAATGATCCCTTTTAAAAATTCTGCCGATAGGAGATTTGTCATGAGAATAGAGTAATCCATATTCTTTTTCCATTTCTGCGAAATGCCCTTTGATGAGAATATCCTGGAAAGGAAAATAAAATCTTAGTATGAAAGTAATCTTTGTTACAATATCTGTTACCTTAATTACAAATCATTACATCTAAATGTATTGGTTGGAGCACTATAAGATGTATACTAATGTAATTGTAAGAAGCAATTCTCATTATGCTAATTATCATGACTAAGTTCCTTTTTTTATTATTTTATAAATTAATAGGCAATTTGCTAATTCATTAATTTATAATAATTCATTCATTCATTTTTAATAAATAAAATAAGATAAAAAATCAATTTGATATTGTGAATTTTTCTCTCTATAACAGATTACATGGTAACAGACAGTACCATGTAACTGTACTACAAAGTACTGAAGAAAATAAATAATTTCTCTAACATCAAAATATAGAAATTGTCAATTTATTTTCAAACTATAAGTTCTCAAAAATTAAGTCAGAAACAATTAACTTGCTCAATTTGCTCAATTTGTCTTCTTGCTCAATTTGTAAACACACCTAGTAAATCACCTTGTTTCCTCTTTTTTTGGTGTAAGTCTATTCGAACATGATCTCTTCCACCATTTTTATGATTATACTCATATTTTTTCTAATTATCTTTTATTCCGGATTAGATCAGAATTCCCCCACAATTCCATTTTTTCAGAATGGTAATTTTAATTTTTATAAGTTTCTAAATCAACTTCCATTCATGCAAAACCGTCAAAACTTGATAAACTGTCACTTGAGTAAGATTTTAAGAAATCAAAGTTTTACCTTATGGAAAGGTAGTCCACCATATGCTGCCCAGTAAGAAGTGCGATGGAGAAAATTTGTTTGATCTGAAGAGCGATGAAAGCCAGGATATTGTTCCCAAACCCACAGCAAACCTTTAGGTTCACGAACAAAACGTTTCTTTCCATGTCTAACTTTGTGATCTTTTGTTGAAGGAGTTTGAAAAATTAATCTGTTATAATCAACTACCAGCCATTGCTTATTTCCTGTTCCACTATTGAACCTTAGCATATTGATTCCCCACGTTCGACCACATGTTGCAAGGCGATTAGCACTCATTACACGTGGACCAAGAAGCACCTGTAAAAATAACAAGGAAAAATTAGAATGTAAGGATTAATATACGTTTGTAAGTAGTCCATTACAACAGTCATACAATCATTTTATTCTCATAATAACAACAAAACTCCCAATTGTACGTTTCAACCTGTATTGGGGGTTATCCTCAGGTACTTGAACAAGTCTATATCAAAATCTACAATACAAGAACAATTAATATGTTAAATTGATACATAAAAATTGTAAGTGTTGTGAACAAAATTAAGTTTACCTCAGCATGACCATACCTCAGCATGACTATTATTCAAGAGTTCTGCCAAGAATGTCCCCAAATATGGAACAAAACTTAGTACAATTTGGAGTTTTATTGTTATTATGAAAATAAAATGATGCATGTCTGTTTTAATGGCCTATTCTCATGAAAAAATATATTTCTGGAGGGTTGCTCCCATTTAATATTTTAGAATTGACCATATGCCTCACCTTGCCAACAGGATCAATGAAGTTCCACAATGCTTCATTGTAATTATTAATTGTTGTTCCACTAATCACCAATTGATGCTTGGTGGCTTTGTCTTTTGATCCAGATATTGAATAGAAGTCATCCTGAGAAAAGAGTATAGCAGGGTAGGAAGAGAAAGAAATGACTTTTCCTGGAACTTCAGGAGAATTTTGAGTAGATGTCAAATGATAATGAAATTCATATTTTTTCATTATTCTCTGCATAGCTTGATACCTTTGAAAAGAAAAGAATATTCATTCACAATATAATTCTTTTTACAATGTCATGTTATATCACATACCCACAATTTGTAAATCCTTTATATACAGGGAAAGCAACCTACCTGCCACCAGTGTTATGAGCAAATATCAGACGATGGCTGCTAGGTAAAAGTTTAATGAATGCTGAAGAAAAAGAACCAATAACAGAAGATGAAAATTCATTATCTTTAGTACCATTGAATTTCTGTTCCAGTTCAACTAGGTCAGGCATAATATTCATCCATCTGCAAAAAAATAAGTGGTATATTTTTAGCATTAATACTTTTAACTTTATTTACAATGTATGGAAAGTTGAAGGATTTCCATCCAGATTCATCAGAGTTGCAATAGCTCTGCACATTTTTTTTAATGATTCTTTAATCTGATACCATTTGTTTCAGCTAACAAATGCCACTTAATATCCGATTTAATAATATCAAATTACCTACTTTTATTACAACTACAATCATAACAAGTATTCTGGTAAAATAATTAAATTAAAAATTTTCCCTGTTGCAAACTGTTGATTAAATTTCCATATACAAGATTACACTTTCAAATTCTTCTTAATATTGATTCTAAAATATTTCCAATTTTAATGGTAAGTACATACAAGCTCTCATTACAAAAATCAAATTATCACAATGGGTATGAAATTTCAAAAAATAATTTCTGATGGAATTTATTCTGGAATCACCTGAAATTATATTAAATGAATCTAGTATCAAATAGAAGCATTTCTAATTCTATAACTTTAAGGACTTACATGCCACTTAAATGTGTATTAGAGAAAGAACAATTGTTTTTAAAAAAAATTAAAAATTTAATGGCACATGTGTCAAAGATTAAAACTAATATGAAAATGAATTGTAGTTTTAAGCAGGAGAAGAGTTTGGTTTAAGGGGTTTAAGTGGATTATATATACATATGATCAGGAGCTGGTTGAACTATTTTGAATATCACTTTGCATGAAACGATGCTAGGAGACAAAAATTATAGTATCATAAAAACTATAATTTTGAGGATAATCATCTTTTGCATCCAAGCCCTTCAATTGTTAACAATGAATATCTATTTTTTTCTTTTCCCAGCCTTGCATATATTTTCAAACTTCAGAAATCATTTTTCATATTTCGTTACTATTCACCATTGCTTAAATATTTGAATAATGTAATGAGAGTGGGAGGAAATTATCTTGCACATTTCAGTTTTGATTGATAGGGTACAAGTTGTTTTCTTACATGAAATCTTCAGAAGGAATGTCCAATTCTGCTCTACTTCTTTCAGCTCCATGCCTAAAGCCATGTTCAAGACCTTGAAGTTGCATGATGTACAAATGAACCTGGTAAAACAGTAAAAACATTTAGCGTGATTAAAATTTTACTTCAGTCAAAAATAATTTATTTGGAGGAATTAATTATAGCACATTAAATAAAAAAGGAATACTATTGAAATTTTTTCTTACCACCATTTAAAGAAACTGTCTTATGTTGTAAAACTTTAATGTGAACTTTTTCAGTGACTATATACAATCATGTGGTGGCCAATAGCAATGAGAGATCTTGAAAATAATCACAAAAATGTCCTAAGAGGTTCAAAGAACTTAACAATTGGCATTTAAGCTTTTCCTCCTATATTGCACCTCATTTGCAACAGTTGTAATAGTGGTCTGATAGTTTTAATAGTAGTCCATTCCCCAACTTTACTACTAACACAACCAAAATCAATTTCAGATTGCTATAGTTGCTACCTTGAAAATTTAATGTTCTATACAATTCTCTAAAATACTGGTTACAAAGAATAAAGAAAATAGAAACTAATGTTTTTTCAATTTCTTCCTAAAACATTGTTAATTTTGAAATAACACATGAACAGGTAATATAGGTGTTTAAATTAGTAAATGCATTGTAATAATAATAAACCCATATTTTCAAATAAAATTAAAATAATAATACTAAAGAAAGAAGTTCAGACTAAAAGACACAATAACAAAAACAGAACTAATTGCTCATTTAATAACAAATTAAGAAGGTTCATGAAAAATTATGAGATAATACCTGATGCCAGAAAGGATCCTTGTCCTCCTGTTGTTTTGAAATTTCTGCTGTCCATTCCCAATTTTCTTTCACAAAAGCACGTACATCATCACAAAATTGTTCTCTTCCTTCACATGTAAAACGAACTGTGTTGAACCAATGCCAATAGATTAATTGCCATGATAAACTTCCTTCCAGAACACCAGCAGCAAACGCTTGATACCAATCAGGACTGTCAGGATTGGTTTGAACTTCAAAAAAAGCCCACCTAAAACATAATGTTCAAAATACGAAAACTGAAAGAAAACAGAAAAACATCAAGAAATCCATTGATAGAATAAAGACTATAAATATGAATTTATAAAATTATTTATGAAAATAAATGATATTTGTTGTTACAAATAAATTAAAAGATTGATTGTAATCTCATCATACCTCTAGATTTTCCAATAAATTGGACTGCTTTAAAGCAAATTCATTATATAAATTAATGATTTTGAAAATAAATATGCTCACATTTTATAAATTTAGAAAGTATTTTGAAAATTAATTTGATGGAAAATATTTTGTTAATTACATACCCACTATTAACAATGTCAGTTTTGTAGTGGGCTCTTGCAACACCTTTTGGAACTTTATTTAAGTCATTTCCTTCTCCCCAAAAAGAAACTTGAAAACCTAATTCTTTAGAGTAAAAAACAGTTGCAGAATAAATTCCATCTTCAAGGGGTCTGAAATGGGAAAGAATTTAATTATTTATTGAAAACAGAAATTTGGACATTCATACATTATCATTTTTGCATGAAAATTGTTTGTGTATTCCCTCTAAGTAGGAAAATATGAAAACTTACTGTTCACTTTCTCCAAAGATGTACACAATGATCCCAAGAGCAACCATTGCTCCTAGGATTATTGAGATCACCTTTGTCTGATACCAGGATGCACCAATTACTTTCAGCATGTTGACGAATGTTGATAGTGATGATGATGAAGAAAAGTACACTGTGAAGAAAAAGTAATTTACTAGATGAATGGGAATATATTCTACTCGTATTGGACTTTCAAGATGGAGAAGATCTTGACCGTGACCTCTCGTATGGCGCAGTGAAAACGAAATGTTTACATTGTCAGCCCCCATACGATTAAGCAGAGCTTGTGAAATTTAGTGTTGCGAGAGGGCTATAAACAAAAAAGACGAGGCGGATACGCTATTTTTGATCAAGAGGTTGTGCTTTTGGAATATCCGCTTAGCACACAACCATCCCGCAAAAAAATTCCTGAGATATTCTGGAACATATATACATCTAGGAAAATGCGAAACTGACCGTCATATAATATACGCACTACGACTTCAAACGGTTTGACCGGTGCGCGAGCACTTACCGCTCTTCGCTCTAGTCTTAGAAAAATAAACATTGAAAACCTCCAATAAAGGCCGAAGCTTCCCGTCTTAAAAGTAATTTTAGATTTAAAAAATTATACATTTATTTCCTTCCAATAATTCAGAAAATTCAACGCAACGGAATGCCTGTAAATCCAGTACCACTGATACCCTTTCACGCTTCATTGAGATGTTACGATATTGAATATTATTAATTTCTAATGCGAAAAAGAACTTAAAAGAGTTAGAAATTACATCTAATGAAGTTGTTTAATACAGAAAAATCAACTTACCCAAGCTACGAAGATGCACCCAAGCCAGAGAATCGGCTACGAATTATTGAATTTGGAGCTCCCACCCAAGATGACACTGCGTTGTAAACAACGAAACATCGCAAAACAAATGAAGGGCTCGTCGGAAGACTCGCGGGGCTGTGCGCAGCAGCACAGGAAGGTCCTGTCAAAACACTTTGACAGCCGAGGGCGCGCGACCGCGTCGAGAGCGTGCACCGCGGCGAATGCGCCGCCACGAGAGGGAACGCAAAAGCGGCCTCGACATCTCCCAAAAAAATTTTTCGCCAATGGTCCCTATTTTTATCTCGCGTACTCCCCGGAGGGTAGAGCGCCATGCTCTGGTCAGGGTGATGTTCGTCGTGGGGTTTCGAGGATTAAACCGGCAACGACATCCGCAGTTCGCCACAACAAAATCAAACACGACCCATCTGCGTCGCCGGGCGGGCGCGCGCGCACGCACGCACGCGCTCGCTCGCGCTTGAAACGTCCGCGTCCACCCACGCTCCGCGGCGGCCGGCCGGCCAGCCGGCGCCCACCCCAAACAACGCGAGCCGAAATCGCGTAAACTGTTACAGAAGATGTCGCGTACTCCGTTGTGTACCCGAAAACTCCCCCTCGGACCACCGCGTTCCCACAGAGCTTTCCGCTCGCTAGACGTCTCCCAAAACAGCTTGTTTGCGCTTCCAACAACAAATCACGCGCGGTCCAAGTCGCAACACAACAAACAGTCCCGTTCGCTGTCACTGCGCCACACCACCAGAACAAGAACAACAAAAAACAACAACAAAAACACGACACTCACCTTGGAAAGAATGCCAAGAGCCCCAGGATGATGTTGCCGATGGCCGGGACTCGTTAACTTCCTAATCGTTCTCAACCCATCGAATAAGGTAGCTAGTGGTACCTCCGCTAGCTAAATATTTGCGTTCTTGCGGCTCGGCGCGCACCTGAAACAAAAGAGCGTTAAATCAGTCGGGGCCGCTTGCACAAGGGCCGTAAGTCTCCGGGCGGGCGCCATGTGCCTCCGGGGGAAGACGCAGGGGAGGCGGCGGCCAACGCGCGTGCAGGTACACGCGCGCGCACGCGCCGGAAGAGCCTGATGCGTATGGATGCGCGCGGGGATGCGGT